TCAGCAGAGAGGAGTCTTCCTTGACCCTTCGTGCCCAGGCTGCTGCAGTGATGTTTAGCCAGGAGCCAGGGCCTCTCTCCCTTCCCTGCCCTGGGTCTCTGCTCGCTGCCTCGGCAGGAAAAGGAGCAACATGAAGCTGGTTCCTGCCCTTGCTCAGGGGGGTGGTTGTCACCTGGGTACAGGAGGGTGAAATGTTCATGGGAAAGCTTTGAATTGATGTCAAAAGAATAAAAATGTCTGCACTATGAGTGGGAAGGGAACACTGGCCTTAGTTGGACAAAGAACTTTTCTCTGCTTGACACTTACAGGTCAGTGGAAAACAGTGTGTTTGGTAAAATCTTCTTGCTTACACCTCTTTCTTACCAGCTAAAGGGAATATTGGCCTTCAGACCCAGGGTGTGACCAGCACATTCAGAAGTGTGGCTGAAGCTGGCAACTGAAGGTTAACTTGATGTGATACTATAAATACAGATTGGCTTTTTATTTCCACACTGGAGAGTACTGAAAATACTGGCTGGCACTCACTGTGAGGCATTACATTTGTCTTTGGTAATAAAAGGTATTTAAAATTTACTTTTTAGTATGCTAACCACAAGTGAGATAATTACTAAGTCTGTTGCTGCTATTAGACCATAATGTAGAAATCACTTAATTTTCTAGCTTTTAGCAGATGGATCTTGTCTCAGAGTTGGTGGGGTTCTTAATTTTGCTGAACAGATCGTGTAACATCACTGTCTTGCAACTTGGCCTGCATTATTTGCCTTCATGCAGCATCAAAAGCCTGTTGGAAAAACTACCTGAGCAGGTTAGCTAGCAGCTCTGCTTGATATTTTTAAATAACAGTGAGCCTAATAACAGTGGGAATTCTGCTGCCATTGAAACCTCCCAATCCTGGTTTGTTTGGGGGCTTTTTGGGGGGTGCATTTCTGACAACACTAAGAGTGGAATTAATCCGCCCTTATTTTTGAGGCTTCCAATCTAGATGTTGCTCTCTGAGCTGGTCTCCTAGGTACTACTTATGGTCAAAAGAGGGGTCTGAATATGTGGTTCTGAGAAGTGGTTCATCTCCTCTCCAGCAGACCCTGGGTGGCTTTGGCTCTGCAGCCACCCCTGCCCATGGAGCAGTAGCTCAGAGGCAGCTGCACCGCCCAGGTCTGACCCAGGGAGAGCTGAGCCCTGGCCTGGGATGTGCCTTCTGCAGCACTCTGCCAGAGGTGGGGTTGCAGTCTCAGCCCCACCCGAGTTTCCTCACATCCTCTGCTGCATTTTAGATGTTTGGTGCTGCTGAGTCAGGTCCCAGTCTGGGCAGACCCCGAGTGCTTTCGGCTCTGGTGCAATTGGTGGGAGCGTCCAGAAGCCTTCAGTCCTAGGACAGCACTCTAGTTGTTTTTTTTTCATTACCAGTTACACTCCTTTTGCAGTACTTCATATGCCCTGATGAGAAGCAACCAGTTGGAGGTGATCTGAAGTGGTGTGTTGAGGCAGCGTTGTACCCCTAGGACTTCATTGGAGAGAGCCAAGTCCTGAGGCTGGAGGCGAGTGGTGGGGCCGGTGCAGTGTGGCTGCCCTTTGCCAGGCTGCTCAGCCTGGCTCCTGCTGCCCTTGGCACTGCAGGCTGCACCACGAGGCTGCTCCTGCAAGTGGGAATGAGAGCTGGGGAGTTAGATCTTCGCACCAGCACTCCCAGCTCCATGGAGCTCTGGTCTGAGGTGATATTTTGGTTGAAAAGCAGAGAGACAGAGCCCTTGGTGTCCAAGGAAAGAAGTGGGAGGTAAAGGTGTTTGCACATGGAATGTTTTGAAGAATTTACTCATGTAAATTCTCCTGATTTAACTGCAGTTTTGCTTTTTTGCTTCTTTTGTTTTGTTGAAGTTTTTCTTTTCTGGAGATAATAAAATCTTGCTTTTTGCTGGCTGCATTTTAGAAAGTGTGATAACTTCCAGAAGTGGTGCTGTAATGTTAAGAGGTGTGGAGATGGTGTCTGAGCTAACCTGCTCCCTCTGGAGAGCAGGAGGGGAGGATGTTACAGCTGAGTGCAGCAGGGCCAGGGTTTTCCTAAGTTTATCTAAAAGTTCACTTCATTTTCCCTTGGTACCACACCCAGACAGTTGGAAATCAATATGAAGTTTAAGATGCAAGAGACAGAGAAGTTCCTTTTATTTTTTTAATGCCAGATATGTACAAATACTTGCTTTTAGTCCAACATATGTATTTCAAATTTAACAAGGACTTCCATTTAATGTAACACAAAAAAAATGTGTAATCTTACTGTGTATCATTTGCCATAAAAGTGGAATTAAATTTTTTTCAAGAAATGACTGAGCTGTGTGTCTTCAGTAGGAGCCCTTGATGATGGTGTCCTCTCTGCTCCTTTCCTGTTCCCTGCACCAGAACACAGAAGCATTTGGGCACGTTTTGGGTGGTGGTTTGAGTCGACCCAGCAGTGAGCTGAGGAGCAATGGTTCCTCCTGGACAGACCTGACTTGCTTTTGCACCAGGGGTTCAAGCTCGGGTGGCTCTGGGAGGAAGCACTCCAGGTGTGCCCCAAACACTTCCCCCTGTGTGTGGGTCTCAGCCAGATCCTATTGGAATGCTCTGAGAAGGAACCAGACTAACGCTACCTGGGACAGGGGCTCAGCACCCACGGGCACACTGCTGAGGCCCTGCTGTGCCCAGTTCCTTGCTGGTGGAGCTGTGGTGGGAATCAGTTAAAGTGGTCCTTTGGTGGAGGTGACAATT